TTTTTTTTTCGATTTTAATACTCTAGTTAAACGTATAAAGTGTGAAGATTCACATCATTTTTCAGGAACACGCCAGACATATAAAGGGTATCCCATAATAACTGCTGATAAATTGTTAATAGATATTTTTCATATTTTTTCTTGACATAGAGTGCTGAAATTTTTATCATATATATATCTAATCAAGGTCTTTTCTGTCTAAAAGTTTCAGCGATCTATGTTAAGAAAAAGTATGAAAATATTATTAACAATTTATCATCAATTATTATGGGATACCCTTTACATTCTGGAGTGTTTCTAAAAAATGATGTTAATCTCTCCACACTTTATACGTCTAAAAAGATTTTAATTGTTACTTCAAATCGTTATCGATGATGTTACATCTAATTAGATTATTAAAATCGAAAAACAAATTTTTTTTCCAAAAAGTGGCAGAAATCCCACGGATTCATTCACAACTGATTAACAGTCCAGCAGTGTTCAGACTTCTGAAAAAGGAAATTTTGGAAGTTTCGGAAATTTCAAGCACTTGTGTTCTAAATTGTTTGGTATTTCTCAAAATTATATAATTTCCGAAATTTCTGAAATTTTCAAAATACTATACGTAGCGAAATTTCCGAAATTACAGAAATTTCTAAAACTTCTAAAATTTCTAATATTTCCAAAAGATTTTCATGTGCTCTGCTATGTAGTTATCGAGTTGATGGAAGCTTCGGAAATTTCTGTAATTTCCTTTTTCGGAAATCTGAACATACCTCGAAAAACGAAACATGTCTTAAAAATTTATTATATCAGTTATCTAATATACTATTATTCAATCATCGGTTTCAAAGATACTTTTCAGGAATTGAAATTGGAACCGATACATATCTAAATAAACATGCTATTCTGAACAACAGAATTTATTATGTACATTTTGATGAAGAAACGTCAATTTTGATTTCAGATCTTTATAAAAGTTATGCATATCCATGTCGGATGTTTCTTCGCCCTGTCGGCGATATACTACGGTACTCAAAAGAACCGGCAGCGTTTTTTTTCTTTGATTTGAATCGTATGATTAATATTAAAGTTAAAATTCTGTTTAGATAACAGTAGACTATGACCTCTTATGTCTGACTCTATCATTGGTTGGAAATAGATTCTTTTCTTCTCTATCGATCTCTCTGTGCACACGTAGTATTCTTCTTTTAAATTGTCAAAAGCTTGATTTTTATTCTAGGATTTCATTGACATTACTGTTATTAATCTTCTTGGTTTCTTAATCTAAAAAGATCTGATTGTTAAAATAATACGATCATCTATATGTTCTTTTTTTTCTCTTTTTTATAGATGTTTATTAAACTGTGAATTTCTTCTTTAGAATACATTCCATCTATTCAAACATTATGTTTTCCATTGATTTACATCAGAAATTTATGGATTTAGTTGTTTACGCAGGTACTAACAATTATTTTTTTGTTGCTTTATTATTCAATAATATGAAATTTTGCTTGCTTTTTATCTTATTAGCTACGAATCCATGGCAATTTCTTTATTATGTGTTTCTTTTTCTAACACCAATGTTTATAATATCTGGTTATTTAGCATATCGTTTAGCTAAAGATATTGAACGTAATGAAAAAACTAAGCGTGCTAAAATACAACATAAAGTTAATATAGCTAAAGTTCGTAAACATGGCAAACACGAATAATCAATATGGTGTCTCAATTGTCCTTTTTTGTTTTTCTTTTTGTTTTTCTTGTTCCATACTGTGCAATAAATGAAACAAAAAAAAAAGAAATGATTTTTTATGATAAATAAAATAAATTTCCATATGACTTCAAATAAAATTATTTAAATTTATTTTATTTCTTCGACGTTATCTATACGAAAGAAATAGAAATACATCAAAAAATAAACAAGGAAATAATTTTTTAATTATTCATCATAATACATAATACTGCGTCGTTTTCGTTTACCAAGATAACTTGGAGGACGTAATGATGCACGTTTACCAAATGGACGTAATGATGCACGTTTTCCAAATGGTCTTAATGATGCTCGTTTTCCTGCAACAGGTCGAAGTGATGCTCGTTGATGTACAACAACAGGACGAAGTGATGCACGACGATCAAAATCATTCATATCATCATATTCTTCATCACTAATATCGATAAAATGATCTTGTTGTTCACTTGAATCAGCATTTGTACACCAAAGAAGAACTAAAAAGAAAGAAGAAAAAATAAACTTCTTTTTTTTTGTTTGTTTAGATAAAGAATTTACCAAGAGAAATAATGACAACGATGAATAGAATTGAGTATTTAGTAATGTACATTTTCTTTTGTTCTTGTTGATACTTTGGACTGAATCTGTAATAGAGTTTTGTTTTAGTAGGAAATTGTTCGTCGTAACTGAATATATATATATATATATATATATGAGAAAGCTTTTATTGTGTCTAGGTTTTTTCAGAATTATAGAAACACATTTGTCAGTGAGAACAAATCAAATAAACGCCTACGTTTATACCCAGTTTATGATACTCTTTTTCTTCTTACATACTGAAAGAGATAAAAAAAAATATATATGTGAGAAAAATTAGATCTTTTTTCTCTTTCTTACCAAACTATGTTAGCATATTTTCCAAGCTAAAACAACAATAATCTACGTTAAAAGGATGCTCTAAAATTAGATTTTTCCTGTTTAATAGATGTTTATGAATATGTTAACTAAATATGATTTTGAATATTTCCGTTATTATTCGTGACTCCATTATTAACTTTAAAAAATGCTTCGTAGTCAAATTCTAACTGTTTTTTTCATATAGACAAATCAAATAAAGAAAAAAAAAGATATGCACTTATAATTTATATATATATATATAAAATCAATCATAAAAAAAATGTAGAAATGAACAATAAATAAAAAACATTTGTTCATGTTTTTTTGTCTGTGTACTTTAAAAAAAAAGTAATAAATTGTGATAAGACCTTGTAATATTTTATATCACTATTGTCATACAAGGTGCTATAAATGTTATTAGCATATTCCTCTGAATCAGGGAGCAAATAATACAACATATCGAGTAATAGTAATATGTTACTTGAACTTACTGTGTGGCAAATTGAATGATGTTCAAAATAAGAATCTATCCATTGAGAGATGTTGTTAAGAAAAAAATAGCTATCAGATAAAGAGAGAAACAATTCATTTCTATATCACCTCGTCAAATACAAAAGAGCATCCATGCATAGATTTCTTTACTTTTTTGCTGTCTTCTTGAAGATATACGTAGCATGATTCATTACGCAATGTCCTCCTATAAGATTTAAGAACAAATGTAAATGATAACAAATTATCATGCCGAGACAAGCAAAAAATATGCGATCAATCTAGCAGCATGAGTATGCTTCTCTTTACAGTTATAAAGAAATATGCCTTCACGCTCTGTAAATGACAACGATAATATAGCAAAAATAAAATTTACAAAGAATTGTTCTTGATTAGATTGATATTTCTAACAAATAATTTATTTCTTCTAGATACATAATTTTCGATGGTTGACTTTATCCTTAATCGATTATTTCTTCTTCAATATTGTTGCTCGAGTATAAATTGTTATCAGCGACATTCTCATCGACCTCGTAGTCTTGAATCATTGTTACCATGTATGCAGAACATTTTGCGCTATTTCGCAGCTAGTTCGATTGCTTACTAAATACCATTGAACTAGTTTATCATTGGAAACATATAATCCAGAGACAGTGTTGTAATCCAACCTGAAAGCTAAATCGAATGATTCGTTGAAACGATCAAAGCGAAATATGGAAGCAAAAGAGGTGTGACAAATTATTATCTTGATGTACTCAAAATTCTGAAGCCAATTTCATTAGTATGACGAGAGAAATCTTCCCAACTTGAAAGTCGTTTTTGGTTTAAAAATCAGAGGACAATGGGGGTGGGTGCGGATGTTAGACTCGGTGTGAGTGTGGATTTTATGTTAACGGTTAGCGACAGAGGAAAACTAGGGTCTAGACATAAAACCATATTTCGATCCGCATCCACATTACCAAACATATTCCGATAATGATCGAGAATCACACAGGCACTCACAGTCATACTCATACCCTTGAAACTTTTTTATTAATGTATTTCCATGAGCCAAATATCTATGCAAAGTTTTATCAACATATCATGGACTTTGTCAAAGTTAGATTTTTTAGCGGAGAGGACTTTCAAAGAGATTAGCTTTGATAAGGATTTAACAAAAAAACAAATTTTTCTTTGCTACGTCTCGTGCCTAGTTGTTAAAAAAGATTAACAATTGTTTTTGTTGAAATGGATTTGAAAATATCAAATAATTTTAATAATGTCTCGTGTCTAATCTCTTTGTTTTTTGGAACAACACAGGATAAATGTATATTTATTACATGGTTGTGTTTTAACACGTTAACTTTCTATTCATTCAAGAGCAGATATCTTGTGTTTGCTGTATCACTTCATAGCTGATCAAGTTTGTATATGATTTTAATTGAATTTATAGCTCGTTTGTTTCGACTTGTTAATCCTTACCTCAAAAAAAAAGGAATGCTCAACAAAACTGAATAGATTTTAAAAACTATTTCAATATATCATGTTGGGCCTTGTTGTTCATAATAACTAATGCTAATGAGGAAAGTCCTCCAACTGATAAATTGCTTTGAAGTCGAGATCATGCTCATTATGTAGATTCAAATGAACTATGAACACATTGAAAACAGTGCATTGCTTTAACTAATTGCTACGAAAATACTGCACTTTTATGGCATTTTTAAAAAATGAATGTTGTCGTCTCTCTGAGGAACACCAGAAAAACTGATTTTTTTAATTTTGATTTGAAACTTTGCATAGAGACAGACTTTGACGAGCTATCGTTATCAGTTGAAGGACTTCCTTCGTAGGTAACGGTACTATCTATCTCAGGCTCGGTCAATCAAAAATGTGATTCATGTTGATATGGAACATCGTGTTTCTTCAAAGCTATATGTTGCAAGGGGTAACCTCGCAAGATGTGGGCTCCAGTTATGAGAAAAAGAATTGTCCGATTTGACATTACAATGAACAAAATGTTAAGATTACATTTTTGTTTTTGGGTTAGTTATCTCTTTTGTGTTTTTGTTCTATCATATTTCAACGGAACATATTTGTATGAATTGAATAAGTATGGTTATGATGAAAACTGTCCTTGTGTCCTAATCTTGGTCAAACCTAGGCTTTTATTGAATAATGAGCTTCCAAATTTTTGGAATATTTCTTCGTTCTAACAGTTGAGATGTTCGATAAACACTTTGCACATATAATATACGGATTATTTTTAAAGGTGAATATGAAACTATAAACATGTTCCCAGTCGTGTATAGAAATGATAAAAGATAGTTCCTTCATAAACTCGTTCTTAAATGTAAATTAGATATTTACATATACTTCTTCGAAGAAAGATAAAGAAAACTAAAATATGATATTTACATGCTTTACATGGCAAAAAAAATGCATGTGCTTAGCTTATCTTAAACCTAATATAGATGAAATATGACTCGTATCTTTATGCAATTCACGTACGAAAGAGACTCATTCTATTACAAATATATTTATCTTAGTCTTTTCGAAGAGATAAGATAAGATAAAAATGATCATTAATCTTCCACACACTTTCACGTCTCTCACAGATTACGTCGAGGTCTTAATTTCGTGTTTTAATTGTTGATCCTCATTAATAGAACTATATAGTTTTACATACTAAGTTCGAACATGATTTAATCAAACTTTTTGTTTGAGATCTATGAATCAAAAATAAATTTAACGACTCATGTAACCATTTTTTTCAGTCGAACAGCAAAGGACAAGTGCATGTAGATGCAGCTTAGATGAAGTATTTCTTTCGTTTCGTGACGATTTACTTGAGAAACGCATATATAATGCTTTTAGATTAATTTGACAAATAGATTGCATAAGCGAATATGTGCAAGTCAATGTAACTGAATGGAGACAATGGTGGCTCCTCACGAGATTCGAACTATACATGTTGTGCTATTCAGAAAGATGTTCTAACCGAGTTAGACTAGAAGGGACATCTAAATTTCGTGTAGCGTCGAAGTATACGACAAGAAACATTAATAGTACTGGAAATGACCGACATTAGCTCTTAACATGGGAATTAACGATTGTAAGTTGTGTGTATACACCAAAGACATATTTAAGTTTGAATTCAACATATTAAAAGAGCGATTAGCTCTGTTTGTCGAGACAATATTATCGCTATAATTATTTTCTTTATCACAAAAGTTAATCTCATGTATTTTTCTGGTCGGATTTTTCATATGTGCTCCACAGTGACTAATGTTTGTCTTTTCGAAAATATTCTATAGATTTCGAAAATAAATGATTTTTACAAGAATGTTTGGTACAATTAAAGATTGTAAAGAAAAACAAGTTCTAAACAATGAATATGCAAAATATTGTCTTTTAATTAGGAATCAAATAGATCGTCGATCAATGTATTCTACTGTTACACTGATAGAACTTTTTTCAATGACTCTTAAAAAAGTATTGCAACTGTAAATTTTATTTTTTATTCTTTTCTATCGAAGTGAATGAAAAACGAACTACGTAAAATATTTGCAATCTCCACTCTCAAAGTAGAGTCAATATAGTTTACTAAATAAAATATTAACAAATGTAATGTGACTATTTCGTTCAGCGTAAATTCAAGACCGTGCCGACGCCTTCCACTTTAGAAATAGTTTCAATCTATCATTATGAAAATTTATAGAAACTCCGTCATACTGTTTATGTGAAGTGTAGCCTTCTTGCGCAAGAAAATATTTCATAAAGGAATATGCTCTATTGTGAGACATCAATCAATCTTATACAGGGTGTCCCAAAAGTCATGTTCACTTAAGAAAATTGAATATCTCCATTACGACTCGAGCAAACGTGCTGATTTTTTATCAGTGATAGAAGCATGCACCAAGTTTATATCCATAAAGACATGTCTAGGGAGACCCTTTGTTAAGTATCACTATTGACCTCAACAAGAAAAATTTACTTTTTCACACATAGAAAAAAAAAGCAGTATACTTAACAGAGGATCTCTCTCGCCATGTCTTTATGGATATGAAGCCTGAACATGCCTCTATTATTGGTAAAAAAATCAGCTCGTTTGCTCTAGCCGTAATGGAGATATTCAATTTTTATTTTGGCAAACTGACTTTTGGGTCACCCTGTATATAGTCCAAAAATCAAGATACCAAGAAAAAATTAAATATCTCCGCTACGACTCGAGCAAACGGGCCGAGTTTTTTACCAATAATAGAAGCATGTTCACATTTTAAATCCATACGGACAAGATTAGAGAGAACCGTTATAAAGTACCACTAATGACCTCAACAAAATATTTTTACTTATTTGTAGATAGAATAGAAAACAATATACTTAACAAAGGATCTCTCTAGATATGTCTTTATGGATATAAACTTGATGCATGCCTCTATCACTGATAAAAAAATCAGCACATTTGCTCGAGCCGTAATGGAGATATTCAATTTTCTTAAGTGAACATGACTTTTGGGACACCATGTATTATACTCATCAGGTGATTCTCCATGACATGAATATAACAAGAAGAGAATTCATTTCTATGCCTTTCTTAAGTCGAAATACTGTATTTTTCAAATTATACAAGTGAATATACTTGAAAAAATTTGAGATTTATTCTTCTTAGCCAGTCTAATTGATGTCATTATGTTAGAAATCATGCAATTAGAAACATAATCTGAGAGTTGCTTGCTATTAAGAGTATCTGACAGTTAGTAGCAAGTAATTCACAAGTGAATTTGAAATTTTGAAATGCAATATTTCTAGTTTAGACCGAATTTAGGTTGTAAATCGGTAGATAAATTTTCTTGACTATCATCAATGCTTTGAGTATGCTTCGAAATCACTCATTGTATAATCCGAAGCATTAGGCCAAAATTGAGAGCTGGAATTCCGATACCGACTAGAAATTTATCGGTTCTAAATTTTTAAAAAGTAATAAAAAAACCGACCGGTCGAGTACCGGTTCCAAGTCTAGTTTGGTCAAAACAAGATTCGGAAGAAAATATTCAGTCAATCATACGATGTTTTAGTCCTAACTACATTCGAGTTTGTTTTTCGTTTTTTTGAAGGCAAAATAATGGATATAATATGTGCTCGGTTGATGTCGGACATTTGAAAATATTCGTTCGTCCGTTGTTAAAAATAAAATTTAGTAAAAACATAATTATGTAAATTATTTCTAATGCTATTGTGTTATTTCAGTTCAGTATATTGAATACTAATCAATTTTTCTTATTTCTATTCTCATTGTGTTCTCTTGAATAATTGCAGGATATTTAGTTGTTCATAAGACAAAATGCGCCATTCGGTTATAGTTATTGTTCTTATTGGACTTACTGGTCATCTTCATATCGAAGTTAAAGGATTGACATTGACAAAAAGTGAAAATCATACAATATCACGGCAGATTCAATCATTAGAAACTGTTAATCTACCTGACATAATTAAAAACGATCCTAAATATCGAATTGATTGCAATCCAGATATTGATGAGTATCGATCCTTCTGTAATCTTAATCTTTCAGTGAATCGAACTTTACATACAACGAATCAATCGTGTACAGCTCGTGGATGTATATGGGATACTAACATCGGATTAGGTGTTCCTACTTGTTACATTCCGATTGAAAAAGGTGGTTATATATTGAAAGAAGAACCCACTCAACTTTCATCTGCTATAACACAATACATACTGACTCGTCTTTCAACTAGTCTATTACACATTCGATCAGTGACATCACAGTCATTCGTCAATTCGATTCCTACTACTCGAGCAAATCAATTTTCCATGTTTGGTCACGATATTGAAAATTTAAAGGTTCAAATTAGTGTATCCGGTTCTCAAATGATACGTATGACTATACGTGATGCAAATACAGAACGATATGAAGTTCCTGTTCCTATTCGATGGGATCCATCGGCTTCAACAACAACTGCTTCAGCTAAAATTGAATTTCAAATGAAAAAAACTATGAATGAACAAGTTGGATTTCGAGTTCAACGTACAGATTCACAATCAATTCTATTCGATACAACATTCTTTGCCAATGGTTTTGTTTATGATGATCAATTTATTCAAATAATAACAACAATTCCATCTAGAAATGTCTATGGTAAATGACTATCAAGAATATTTCATTTAGAACATTTAAACGATTCTTATTTGTACATAGGTTTTGGCGAAAATACCCATCCCACTTTTCGACATATTTTAAAAGGATCATCTCGTTATGGAATTTTTGCTCGAGATCAACCGCCACAGGGTACCAATGAAAATTTGTATAGTACTCATCCATTTTATATGGTTATCGAACCTGATGGACAAGCTTTCGGTGTATTAATCTTTAATTCAAATGCACAAGATTATAAATTTGATGAATTCGATAATGATAAAGCGATGCTTACTTATCGAACTATTGGTGGTATTTTAGATGTGTTCTTTTTTGCGGGATCATCTCCAGAACTAGTTGTTCAACAATATCAAACAGTAATTGGTCGTCCTTATATGCCACCTTATTGGGCACTTGGATTTCAACTTTGTCGATACGGTTATGACACACTTGAGAATATGAAAGCGGCTATGTTTAGAACACTCAATGCAAGTATTCCTATTGATGTTCAGTAAGTATCAAATGCTTGTTTAACAAGGAAATTTTTTTTTTTCTAAAAATTTCCTTCTAGTTATGGTGATATTGATTATTTTCAAAAGAGACTTGATTTCACTTGGAATCAAATAGATTTTGATGGTTTACCGGAATATGTCAATTGGTTACATGACAATGGAATGAAATTTATTACAATTCTCGATCCAGCTATTGATTCAGAAGAAAAAAATTATTCAACTTATGATGAAGGAGAAAAGGCCAATATTTGGATAAAATGGCCTGCACATCGAAATATTCAATTTAATGAAACAGGCAATCGAAACATGATCGGTTATGTTTGGCCGGATGGTCTGTCATTAAGTTTCTTTCTTTTTCTCTATTGCACAATTAAGTACTATCACAGTAAAGATTTTAAAAAATCTGGTTCTTTCTATCAAAAAAAGTGAGATCTTGTATCTATCAGAACACATGAAAACAAAAATGTTACAAGAAAATTTCAAGAAATTCAAAATAATACTAAGAAAAACGAAAATAAAAATTATACATACTGAATATCAGTTAATAAAAATAGTAATTGAGATTTATGATGATTATTCGAGCATAAACAATTCTAATATGAAACGGTTCAAAATCTATTAACTGTATACTTGAACAACTATCAATCTTGATATACCTTCCTATTTTCGTTAATATTTACTAAAATTTAGGAAAAACTGTATTTCCGGACTTTTTCTATCCACCCACTTTCGATTGATGGAAATCACAAATTGTCGATTATCACAAGAAACTAAAGTTCGATGGTCTTTGGATTGATATGAAGTAAAACTTACATTGATAATTCATTGAGGTTTTCATTCCCTATGTATTGATGATTATAGTGAACCAGCTAATTTTGATACAAACAAAGAACAACCATGGAACTGGAATTTAACTGTGCCTAGGAACGAATCATGGAATCTTCATTGTCCTGTCGCTCTCGAACCATTAGATAATCCACCGTATAAAACAGCGATTTGTGGTGATTATATATCTGATAAAACTTTGTGCATGATAGCTGAACAAACCAACGGTAGAGAAAGAATTTATACTCATTATGATGTTCACAATTTATATGGTTGGTCAGAGATAATTGCTACATTACCGGCAGCACGTGCCACCGAAAATAAACGATCAGTTGTGATTAGTCGATCTACATTTCCGACGTCTGGTAGTTTTGGTGGTCATTGGCTTGGTGATAATATAGCAGAATGGTCACATCTTAAATATAACATTATTGGAATGTTAGAATTCAATTTATTCGGCATTCCTTATATTGGTGCTGATATTTGTGGTTTCTTTGGAAATACAACAGAACAAATGTGTCAACGATGGATGCAACTAGGTTTGAATTAATGTTTATTTTTGAAGTATATACTACGAAAATTGATCCACATCACATACTATAACAGACATATCGATATAAACAGACAGTAAGAAAGAATCCTATGTTCAAATTGTTTTTGAACTTAAAGATTATTTTTGAATATTTGAATACCAGACATTTTGACCTTAAAGAGATTTTTTAAAAATTTAGAATGGATTTAAAATTCCGAAGGTAAAATTCTGCTACTCTTCTCATTGTAATATTGTTCTCCGAGTTTTTTTGAAAGACTGAGAGATGTTTGAATATGTTCACCCTTCATTTCCACCGTCCAAGGCTATACTTACTGTTGTATGGATTTCTCTTCACAAATAAAACAATTTTTGTCTCATTGAAAGCTTTTCAACCAGAAAACAAAAACTAATGATCCATCTTATCGAACTATATCTCATAGGTGCTTTCAGCCCATACTTTCGAAATCATAATGGTAACAATGAAAATGGTACCAAGTTTATTGAACAAGATCCTGGAATATTTTCGCCAACTGTAGTTGCATCAAATCGTCGTGCAGTTGAACTACGATATACTCTTATACCATATTTATATACATTATTCTATCGTGTTCATATTTCTGGTGGTACTGTTGTACGTTCGATGGCTCATGTATTTCCAACTATTCCTGATTGTTGGCCACTTGATGAACAATTTTTATGGGGTTCATCATTGATCATTGCTCCAGTTATCTATGAAAATCATATCAGTAAATCTGTCAATCTACCTTGGACTGAACGATGGTTTGATTATTATACTGGTCAAGAAATAATAACACTTAATCAAACAGTTGTTTCAGCACCCTATGATTTTATTCCATTATTTTTACGTGGTGGTGTTATAATTCCTCATCAACAATCAGCTATGAATACTGTAAAATCACGTAAGAAACCTCTCTTTCTTATTGTAGCATTGAATAAGAACAATGATGCTTCTGGTGATTTGTTTTGGGATGATGGCGAATCAATTGATACTTATGACAAAATGCTTTTCAATTATTTCATTTTCACTTACAAATCATCAGGTCTAACAATTGAACCATGGACATATAAATATCCACAAATGGGCAATGAAATCAAATTAGAAGAAATCAAAATATTTGGTATGAATAAAAATCTAACGAGAATTTTATGGAATGGACAAGAGTTAAAACCAGTAGAACAATGGATATTCAATGCAACAATGAATGTCTTGCATATGACAAATCTTAAATTAAATATGGTTAAAACACATAAATTCGTTTTTATTTAAATATTTATCTTCTGTGTTTTCTTGTTGATTTGTTTTTTCAACATAGAATATAAATTGTTGATAGATTGCTATTGATCTGAAATATAGACGTATCCCTATAAGAATTGGTCTGTTGATGATTAAAGCTTTGCTATACATTCGGTTTTGATCATCTTTATCAACTGCAATGATTAGCATTGGTAAAAACAAAACAACGATAAAGATTTGGAAAAATCAGAATAAGAAAAAGTGGGTCATATTTATTTCTCAGCAATACATGACTCAAATTATGTAAGGAGACACTTCGCAAGCCATAAAATTGTAGAACATCAATGTAATCACATAGTTCTTTGCTATTCTCAAGTTCAGCAATATTTGTAAATTTTTCGATGACATATCTGTTTCGAGTGAGGAAAATGGTATGCAAAAATATTGTTTTTAAAATTCGATTCCAACAATCTACATAATTATGTAAAATAATCATTGTCAAATAGGAAAATATCCAATCTTGGTTTATGCATGATCTTATTTGAAGATTTTCCGCTCAAAGCAACAGTAGTTGCAGAATGCCTATCAAGCAAAATTCAGAATTTTGCGAACTTATATATATTTTCAAAACGAGTTGATTATCACATACTAGAATTCTATTCTTATCTTCTTATTTCTCAATAGAATTCTATATTCCACAAGATAAATTTTACACGAGAAAGCGATCAAAGGATATTACTATTCTTTTCTGCTCTGTCAAAGTTCTGCTGTAATTTTTGAATTCTTAGCAGAAATCTGTTGCTTGTCGGGGTGATAGGCTAGTGTGGTGCTTTGTGGTTTATTTGCTAATGGGAATTTATCTTAGTAAGCTAATCCATTGTTTACCGATTGGATTTTTAAAATTTTGAATTTTGCAGTTCCTCTATCAATTGGATGACAATGATGACAAGTCTATCATTTTAAAGACTAATTCATCGATATAATTTGTATTTGTTTCGTTATGCAATTATTAGTGAAAATTACGAACGGCATGTATATGACAAATCTTTTGTTTTTCGATAATCAATTTCATTCATCAAATAAATATGACAGTCATTACAATCCAAATCAAATTGAGAAAAACAAGTATGTCCTGACGAATCACTATAGCTTTATTTGTCATTGCACCTTACTTAGGAGTAGTTTGACCACGCATCGTCGTAGTTTGACTAACGGCTTGACCTTTTGTACATGGCTCCGGTTTGAGATCTTGATATTTGGGTAAGCTGGGCATAATGCTGTGCTGATGATTGGGTGATGCACCATAGATAAGTACACGGGATGCAGTATTGTAGAGTTCTTGCCATTGAACAGCTCGTTCCGGTGTCCATGTTAGATTGAGAAGCCACTCTTGTAATTTACCATAATCGAAAGGCGATCTAAATATACATCAATAAAAGTAAGAACTGATTATCGATCTAAACAAACTGACGAGGAAGTATTCATCATTGATTGCCAAGTTTCTCGATTATGCGTCATCATACAGCCATACATATTCTCCATTCGAGGATAGTATGTCATCATATGAAGACACATTTCATCTTTGGTTCTTTCACCACCCTGAAGAAATCAAAATGGATTCCTGTTTGTTTTTTACTCTGTAAAAAAAACAATTTTTCATCGAATTTTTCATACCAAAGTGATCACATTCTTGTTCATAGTATTGTAGACACATCGTGTAGCAAGTTCGTCACCCTGCAAGAGAAATATTGATTCTTGAATGAGAAACAATGTAATTATATCTCACTCGATATAGTTTAAGCCGTTGTGGTAAACGATTTTCGTATTGATAATTGAAATCATACGTTTCTGCATTGAATAAATATTGTACAGCTGTTTTATTTCGAATCAATTTTGTCCAAACTGTTTGACCTATGAAAAACATTGTCATTACCAATAGATTCATGCTATCTGTGTTATTAGAAACTTACCTTGCAAATGTGTATGTGGAAAAGCAGAAATAATTGTGATGCCCTCTTCAGGAAAATTCTACGAGCAGTATTCATGATGAACTTTTTAAAAGAGTCACAAAAAAAAAGTCATAGTTACCATTGTAGCATCCGCTGAACAGTACGAATCAACGATAAATCGCTCTAATTTTGGTGGAATAGCGAGAGCAATAGCACTTGAATCAGTACCCAAAGTCAAATAGCCAAGATCATATTGACGAAGTTCTTTACCAATGTAAAAGCGAATACCCGAACTATCCGTACGATCTAAGTAAAACATCGAAAATTATTTATCAATTTTTATTCGATATCAATAAAATTTCTTACTCGAATATTGATTTGGATTGTCATAGTGCATTTGAACCATATAATATTTGATGGAAAAATTACCTCCAACTGGATAGCCAGCTTCTTTTGGAAATTCAACCATCTATTTTAAATAATTTATTTTTGCTTAGATTTTTTGATTTCAGAAATATTTTCTATCTTACATAATCACCACCGACAGCCCAACCAGTTGCAATATTCGATGAACACGCTACTAACTGTGGATAAATTTCATCACACGGGCCATCAGGCAAATTATTATCATCAAATTGAGCTGTTGAATCGCATTCATACATCAGTAGATGATGAATAAGATCGATATTGCCTGGTTCGACAACTGTCTTATGCTATGTAAGATGAGATAAAAATAAAGTTATCATAAGAAAATGATACATACACCAATAGCATGTCGTTTCACTGCATAATTATTCGGAGCTTTGTGTATTTTACAGTGATAGGTTGTATCAGCTGATGGAATGACGTACTGAAAACAAAAAAAGATCGAATTTATGAAAAGAGTATAGCGACTTCAATAATACATTGAAATATGACATACATTATTCAAACGAAATTCAAAGTAATCAAGTCCAGCAAATTCATCTTCGGATGGTGGATTAGCATATGATCGAAGAGGAAGAATACGTAAACCGTGCCGATCTTCATGATAAGAAATTTCACCATTCGATCCTGACGGAATGGGATCGACCAGACCATAAGCAAAAATAAGATTGTTGGTACCAGACTAAAAATTCATAGATTAGATGCATAGAAACGAACGAAGCGATTGATTTCTCGTAAAAAAAAACAATAG